AAAGGAGTTACTACCAGATCAAGAGAAGGGATTTCAAACTCTTGCTTTGTATAAAAAATTGATCCTAAGAATGTCAAAGAGGCCCTAACTGATGTGTACTAGATTAATGCTATGCAAGAGGAGCTGGAACAATTAAATAGGAATGAAGTTTGAGACCTGGTCCCAAGACCTGAAGGAAAAAATGTGATTGGCACTAAATGGGTATACAAGAATAAATCGGATGAAAAAGGTGTGGTCACTAGAAATAAGACAAGGTTAGTTGCTAAAGGATACACTCAAATTGAAGGAGTGGACTTTGATGAAACCTTTGCTCATGTGGCTAGACTTGAATCAATCAGACTACTGTTAGGAGTTGCATGCATTTTTGAAATTTAAATTGTTTCAAATGGATATAAAAAGTGACTTCTTGAATGGATACCTGAATGAAGAAGTTTTTGTTGAACAACCAAAAGGATTTGTTGATCCAAGTTTTCCTAAATATGTATAAACTGAAGAAAGCTCTATATGGATTGAAGCAAGCTCCAAGAGCTTGGTATGAGAGACTGACAGTATTCATTGGGGAGAATGGATATAGGAAAGGTGGTATAGACAAGACTCTCTTTGTCAAAAAAGAAGGAGGGAAGATTATGATTTCTCAAATCTATGTTGATGGTATTGTATTTGGTGGATGTCAAATGAGATGGTTCAACATTTTGTCAAGCAGATGCAGTCTGAATTTGAGATGAGTCTTGTTGGTGAATTAACCTATTTTCTTGGTCTACAAGTTAAACAAATGGAAGACTCCATATTTTTATCTCAGAGCAAGTATGCCAGGAATATAGTAAAGAAGTTTGGGATGGAGAATGCAAGTCACAAAAGAACCCCTGCTCCCACACATATGAAGTTGACTAAAGATGAAAAAGGAGTAAGTGTAGATCAAAGTCTCTACAGAAGCATGATAGGAAGTCTTCTATATCTCACAGCTAGTAGACCAGACATTGCCTTTGTTGTAGGGGTGTGTGCAAGATATCAAGTTGATCCCAAAGTTAGTCATGCAAACCATGTAAAGAGGATTCTCAAATATGTGAATGGGACAAGTGACTATGGTATGTTGTACTCTCATGGATCAAATTCTCCCTTAACTGGCTTTTGTGATACTGATTGGGCAGGGAGTGCTGATGATAGAAAGAGTACATCAGGAGGATGCTTCTTTCTGGGAGATAACCTCATATCTTGGTTCAGCAAGAAGCAAAATTGTGTGTCTCTATCCACTGCTGAGGCTGAGTACATTGCTGCAGGAAGCAGTTGTTCTCAATTTGTGTGGATGAAACAAATGTAATAGAATACAATGTCAAACAAGATGTCATGACATTATTCTCTAACAATTTAAGTGCCATAAACATTTCAAAGAATCCTATTCAACATAGTAGGACCAAGCATATTGAAATCCGTCATCACTTCATAAGAGAGCTTGTTGAAGAAAATATTGTGGCCTTAGAACATGTAGCCAATGAATTACAACTGGATGACATCTTCACAAAGGCTTTGGACGCTAATCAATTTGAGAATTTAAGAGGAAAATTAGGGATATGTTTATATGAGGGTTTGTAGCAATTAAAAGTGTGTGTGAATATCATTAAAGTGATATTATATTATTTGTGTTTCCAATAAATAAATTTTAGAAAATAATCATTACAAGACTACCTAAAATTATTTCCCACACGCTACTACATTTCTTCTCTCTATTTCCACAAACTCTTCATTCTCCTCAACAAAAGAAGAACTCTGGCCATTCCTCATTTCCTTGCTAGAAATTTTTCAAACATGTCTCAACATCACACATCATCCTCCACAAAGTCTACCAAAGAGAATCTCTCCCTTGACAGAGTGTTAGATGTTACTCCTCTATCAACGATCCCTCCGCTTGAGAAAAAGGTCAAGAAACCTAGATCATCTCCAACTAAGAAATCTAAAGATGATAAAGGTAACTCCTCTTCTACTACTGACAATAGAACTGAAGAAGAAATTGTCAATGTTGATAGAAGCATCAGAAGGCTTGTGGAGAAAGTTTTAAATGAAGGATTTGCTGTGCTTGGGATTTCTACTCCGCTTGCTTGCATGTCTCCTCCTGCTGACAAAGGAAGTAATCCTAAAAATTATGCTGCCGAATCATACAAGAAAGATGTTGCTGATAGCAAACTTGAGAAGCTTGCTACCTCTTCCCTAAAAGAAGTGGAAGAAGATGTTGATCAAGATGTTGATCAAAATGTTGAAGAAAAATATCTCTCTAAAGAAGATGTTGTTGCCTCCAAGGACGGAGAAGATCACAATGTTGTGAATGTAGTCAATGTTAAAGAGCTCTCTGAAAATGAGCTCATCACTAATGTTGTACCTGATATTGCTAGAAGGCTAAAGTCTAGAAGAGTAAAAGATGCAAGTGTCACACCCCCTCCCGAAGCAATCGAGAAGAAAATCATGTATGGACCGCCAAAAGCAGGAAGTAAAGTGGTCCCTCCATCTAGCAAAAGAAAAGATAGACCTGTTAACTCTACTGATGATGATGAGGATGCTGTAAAAAGGTCCAAGAATAAGAAGAAACCTGCCCTAGTTGAAGAGACAGACTCTGAGTATGATGTCGAGCAAGATGTCCAGGACATGTCTTCTATCAAGAAATCTTCAAGTAAGAAATTGTATGTCAGGGTTCATGATTCCTCACTTGACAACATCTCCTTTCACTCTGTTGGGAATGTTGAAAAGTGGAAGTATGTGTATCAAAGAAGGATTACCCTGGAGAGAGAACTAGGAGCTGGAGCTTTGGAATGTAAGGAAATCATAGAGCCGATCTCCTATGCTGGACTGATGAAAACAATTACCAGGTTTGTCAATTGCTATGAAACTCTTGTTAAGGAGTTTATTATTAATATTCCTGTTGACCGTGCTGACCATAAGAGTAAGGATTATAGAAAGGTTTTTGTTAGAGGAAAGTGTGTAGAATTTGCTCCTGCCATTATAAACAAATTTCCAGATAGGTCTGAAGATGTTTGTTGTAGGCTGGAAGTAACAAATAATCAAGTGTGTAAAGCCATTATAGCTAATCAAGTAAGTGAGTGGCCAATGAAAAATAAGCTCCCTGTCAGCAAACTGAGTGTGAAATATGCTATTTTACACAGGATTGGAGCTGCAAATTAGGTTCCCAATAATCACACTTCAACCATCTCCATTGGTTTAGGAAAATTCATTTATGCTGTAGGAAATCAGAAACTTTTTGATTATGGAACTTATATCTTTGATCAGACCATCTAACATGCTGAAACTTATGCCATTAAGATGCCAATTACTTTTCCTTCTCTCCTCTATAGAATTATCCTAAATCAGCATCCTGGAATCCTAAGTGGAAATGGTGTTGTGTGCAATAGGGAGTCTGCCTTGACCCTCCATTTTAAGCTCTTTTCCAGAAAATATGTCCCAGACATTGTTTTAACATCTGCTTCTATTGAAAATACCTCCACCAAGGATGATATGATCAATGAATTAAGGGAAGCTTGCAAGGAATTAGATGATATGATCAGAGTGAGTTCATCTAGGAAGCTAATCTTTGAAAAGATGATCAAGGACCTGCAAAAGGATAGCAACCTTGATGCTGCAATGACCTCTGAAGGTGAAGACTCCAGTGAGGAAAGAAGTTCTGGTTCAACCAAGTCAACTGGTCAGGATGACAGTTAGACTATTTGATGTTTCTCTGAACACTCTGTCCCCTTTTTTGGCACTTGCATGTGCTTGACATTTAAATTTTATGGTCTGATATTCCTTTGAATGCATCCGTTTATTTGGCATATTATGACTAAAAAGGGGGAGAGAAAGTGAGTGAATGACTGACTAACTAGTGACTAACAAACCTCTGATTGACCACAGACCATTGATTAACGGGGAGCTCAATACTTGAAGGGGAGACTCATGTCTCAGAAGATGTTTTGACATCTTCCTGTGCTAACAGCTAACTGATAACTAAATGTATGTTTTGATTGATTTACTACTGCCCTGTTAATGCTATGATAATTGTGTTGCTGCTCTGATAATATGTTCTAATAATGTTTTAGCCAAAATTTGCTAAAGCGGGAGTTCGTAAGTGTTTGTTGGCAGCAATTTTGGTAAAACAATGACTTATTAATGTTTTGCTAAAATGTCTTAACATTTGGAGCAAAACTATTTTGAATAATGTCAAAGTAGATGTCTTGACATCTGCCTACTAAACTGATCTCAGCCCAAAATTATTTAAGTATTTTATTTCTTGATTTCCAGCATTCTATAATTCAGGATTTGTGATCTACAGGCTGCAAAAAATATGGAGGAATATTTTTCAAATTGCATAATTTTATCTTGGCCTGTTTTTATGGAAATATTCAAAATATTTGAATATTTGTTTTCAAGTCCAAGCCCAAAGCTGCGCATATATAAGGACTTACTTCCTTATTCAAAGACAAGCAATTTTTGAAGAAGAATACTTTCTTTCTGATTAGATGTTTAGACTTTTTATTTGTAATACACTCTAAGTATTGGTTTAAGTACCTGAGTTGTTATTTGGATTGTTAATTGTGTATCATTCATAAGCTTTTAAGCATTGAATAATTGAAGTGTTTCAAACTTATTAATTTTGTTAAGTTCTTCACTGTAAGTGATTGAAGGGATTTGAGGATGGCCTCATACCTAGGCGAGTCTTAGGTAGAAGGTTAGCTTGGGTAGTGATTAAGTGATTAGGTCATAAACTGGTTGTTTACTGAGGGTCTATGAATGGATACCATTTAGTGAACTTGTCACTGGCTTGGTAGCCCCTAGAGTAGATGTTGTTGTACACTGAACTGGGTGAACAATCTCTTGTGTTTTTACTGCTTTTGATTTTACTGCACCTTACTTGTAAACAAATATTTGTGTCATGACATTTCTTTCGACATCACATATCTGATACCATAATTTCATAATTGCTGATGATAATTTTAACATATAAATGAAGAATATATACCAGCCTAAAATTGTGGCACCCCGCTTGATAAAATGTACAAAATAACCCCGACACTCCACATACCAGCCTCAGGTCCATAATGCTTCTGCAAAACGTCTGGTGCAACATAGTATGGGCTTCCCACAACATCACTAAAGATTCCACCGAAAAAATGCATCAGTTTGTTAGGCATACACATCACTTCAACATTAGTATTTCCCTATATCCCATTGCTCTCTTAAATCTATTTATTTCCTGAACAATGTTATAATCATGGACCAACTGATATTTTGATTTTTGGAAAGAAAAAGAAAAATGTAACATAAGCTTAAAATGAAAACTAAAGAGGTACCTTAGAAATTGGCAGGACTATCATCCAATTGTTTCTCATTTTCTATTTCAACCTCTAAAACCTCTTGAAACCATAACATAAAAGGGGAATGTGTTTTGTAATGGTGAAGTTTTAATTGAAAGTATGGCAAGAACGCAAGACTGAGAAAGAAGAACAAAAAGGATTACAAGAGTTCTCTATTTGAGATAATTAGCCAGTATGCCAGAATCACATATGCAACTTTTGATCCATTAACCCCCATTTGAAGAGGCATCGTGTGTGTCACATATCATCGCTTTATTAAGTTTTATTTCGGTTAAAAAAATAGAGGAAGAAAGAATAAAAATAAAAGGAAGAAGAGAAGAGTAAAGAAAGAGAAAGAGAGGAAGAGAAAGAGGACGATTTTCAGTAGTAGAAGAGATAGGGTTTTAGAAGAGATACATTGTAGTTGAGCTTGGGAAATAAAACATTTTAATGAAACATTTAATAGCCTACAGAAAAATGATTAGTAGGGTTAACATTTTTAGTACCAATTTTACCCCCCAAAAAAGAGGTCATTAACCAATAAAAAAGGGCTTTATTGTATTATCCGGAGCATATTGCTTTCTTATATGATAGATTGTGATATCCTATTTTTTTTACACAATCAAAATTTAGTTTATAAAATTAAATTAAATTTTTGATATCCTATTTAAATCTTGAGAAATATAAAATTAAATTTTAGTTTATAAAAAATAAAATAGAACAATTTAAATTTTTATTTATTTATATTTTATTTAGCTGATAAATTAAAAAACTAAAAGAGCTAGAAAAATAAAATGATTATTGAAAAAATTCATATGAAAGAAAATATTTAAAAAATATGTGTATTTATAAAATCACAAAATTATTATAAGAAATAATTAAATTTGATTAAAAAATAAAATAGTTGTAATTAATATTTCATTACTATCAATTAATAAATTAATAAATAAATTAAAAAATAAAGAAAAATATAAAGTGCAACAATCAAAGAAAATTTTTGTTTAAAAATTACATCTATTATTTTTTTCATTAAATTATAAACAATTAATAAATAAAAAATATTTTATATCTATTTACATGTTATAAATGAGTAAAAAGTTACTTTTTTCAATTAATTATTAATAGTATATAATATAATCAACGAATATGAGTGTCTTTATCAATTAAGGTTCTTCCAATTGAAAGAAATGGTCTTCCCAATAGAATACTAGTGTCTTCATCAACCCTAAAGTCTATGATTATAAAATCAGTAAGGAACACAAATTTGTCAACCATTACCAACACATCATTAATATTTTTTTGAGTTGAGAAATGTTTTAGTCAATTGACTAAAGTGTGATGGTTATTGGCCTTGTAACTCATATCCCAAGCTTTTTGAAGATAAATAAGGGCATACGATTAACACTCAAGGCTCTTCACTAAATGTCTCTCATATGTTGTAAGGAATGGTAAAACTTTTAAGATCCTTCAATTTAAAAGGTATTTTCCATTGAATAAATTGGTTGTACTCTTAAGTTAAGGCCATAATAGAGAATTCTCTAACTCTTTTCCTTTTTGTCAAAATAGCCTTCATAAATTTAGAGTAGTTTGGCATTTGTTGTATGATTTTAGTCAATGGTATGTTGATGTGAAGCTATTTCAAAAGCTTCATAAATTTCCTAAATTGTTTCTCTTTTTTTCTTCTTCTAATTCTCTGAGGAAAAGATGGTGGTGGCCTTTCTTGCACAAACATTCTTGTTGTATAGAGTTTTAGCACATCAAGAGACACCTCTTCGTTAGCACGTGTGGTGTCAAAAGTCTTTAGAGTGTTCTACATTGATTATAGTTCTCCATTTCTTTCCTTCTCAACTATTAGGGTTTCTTTTACATTTGCACGGTATTCCTTCTACACATCTTCAGAGGATTTCTTACTCTCCCCTTGTTGAGTCTAATCTTGAACTTGTTCGCTTGGTCCTTCATACTCCTTACCACTTCTTAGGAAAATGAATTTGCAAGATTCAATACTCTTGGTGCTAGAAGTTGATGCAGGTGATTCAATAGAGATTAAGAGTGCTCCAATGGTTATTGAACTTAGAGCAGAAGAAATCAATCCTACCTTAGTTTCCATATTTTTTATACTTACACCTTGAGCTTAAAATTAATTTTGTGTATCTTGCATAAATAACTTAAGAATTGATTCCATCTGGTTGTTTCTATGAGTAACAACACCATGATTAGGTGCAGAAAAACTAGGTGGATTTTGAGGAGCTTTAGGCTTCAATTGGCTCTAATTATTACTCCATGAGAAGTTAGAATGATTACAGAAGCCTGATTTGTAAGTTTTGTTGTATGGATTATAATACTTATGCCTACTCACATAACTAATAAAGGTTGGGTTTACTAAACAATCTTCAAACAAGTTGGCTCTTCCACAGTAAACACATACACTTTTAGTAGCATCAGTCACGACCTTGACCAACTCAGTAGTCGAAGTGTTAGAAGGCATCAATAGGTTTTTCATCATTTAGTGGATTTGTGTCACTTAAGCAACAAGATTTGTGGTCTCAGTGACTTCATGAGCACCTGATGACTTCTTTGGAACAATAACAATGGTGGCATGTGTAATTGGTCATTTATAAGTGTTAGAAGTAATAATTTCAATCAAATTATACCCTTCTCGATAAGACTTGGACAACAATGCACTACCATAAGATCCGTCTAACATGTTCCTTGAAGATGGAACTAACCTATTGTAGAATGTTTCAAGCTGAATTGAGACGGGGATCCCATGGTGGGGACATTGCCTTAATAATTTTTTAAATCTCTCCCAAGTTTTCAATAAAGATTTATTTTTCTGTTGCTTAAATGAAGTAGTTTCATTTATTATCTTGGCACTCTTGACACGAGGAAAATACCTGGCTAAGAACTTCTCAGCCAAATTATTTCATATGGTAATAGAATTTGGCTCCAAGGAGGTTAACCAACTTTTATCTTTATCTCTCAAAGAATACGGAAAAAACCTCAACCTAAAAGTGTGATATGTGACTCCAGGGATCTTGAAATTTCCAGGAACCTCAAGAAGTTACCTCAATTATAGATGTAGGTAATCAGTAGTGGCACCTGAGTATTGGCCAATGGTTTGAAGCATTTGGAACATTATAGGCTTGAATTCAAATTGAGCTATCGTGATATCTGGTATGATGATTCTGGTGTTCATGACATTTAGATCAAAAAGAGCATAATCTCTAGTATTTCTCGCCTTACCATTGGTTATTCCAATGATATCAGTGTCAACCATGCCTCATTCTTGTTGTTGTTGAGTATCTTCAAGGCCATTAAACAAAAGAGTAGGTAAAGGGTTTCTAGGTGTTGAGTCAAAATATGGTATATTATCAAGAGTTTGAATGTTCTCTCTGGTTCCAAGTCTCCTTTGTAAACTGGAGTAAATAACCTAGGCAAGCACCGGTCACGTATCTGTCGTGACATTAGACAACAGAAAATGTCACTTTTTACAAATTTCAATGAAAATCAAAGTTTTAAAGATATAAGCCACGACAACCACGCCAAAAACCTATTATGAAATCTTTGCCTATGCAAGTATACATAGTCAACGTGGTAGTAAGTGTTAAAAGAAAGAGTATTGATCTCATATAGATTGTTTTAAATTAAGTTAATTTTCAAATCAAAAGTTGTGAATAGTCATGAGCAAAAAATAATAATAGTTGTTGTTGAAGGTGTGAAAAACACAAGAAAGGGGGGGGGGGGAGGGGGGATGAATTGGGCTTTAAATAAAAAACTTTTCCTATTAAAATCTCCTTTAAACTGTAACAAGTTACTTCACTTAGTGATAATAGTGATAAGATGCAAGAAGGAAAGAACAAGTTATGTTTATACTAGTTCACTTGAAAACTATCAAGCTAGTTTAGTCCATCCGCCAAAGTGATTTCGTCTTTCTCAACAAGGACTTAATCCAATAATCAAACATATTATTACAATGCACAAGCTAACTGCAAGTGACTAATTTTACAACCTCTAAGACACACTAATCTTAGAATTCAGAGGAATTCTGACCAACTGGTCCCTTAAGGAAAAATCCAACAACTTTTTGAACAAAGTTTGTTTACAAAAGATATGTGTAATACAGTGGGAGAACTGGCTTGGGTGTTTTGTGTTTGATCGCAATTGTTGCGGATAGCAAGATTCGCCACCGACTTTTCTTTTATCCAATAAGGAAAGGTTGAAAAGAACAAGAAAGACCCTTCGAGATTATTTCTTGAGTTCGGGGGGTAGGTTATGAAAAGGGAAGGTGTTAGCACCCTTTTCATCCGTAGTTATCTACAGGCTCTTAGTTTCTTGATAGATCACTTGCTTTTGTTTGAAAATGTGCATGTGATGTGGGTTTGAAAGTATTTTGAAAACGTCTTTGTAATGATTCTCGTTTCTATAAGAATGCGTACAAAGTGTTGGTTTTGAAAATAGTTCAAAAAGGTGTTTGTGGAAGATGTTTTTGAAAGTGATTTTGAAAAGTGCCTTTGTAATAATTCTCATCTCTATAAGAATGTATACAAAGAGCTTTGTCTTTTGAAAATGTTTCAATTGAAAGTGTTGGTGTGGAAAAATGTTTTTGTTGTGAGCAAGCGAGCAACTATGAACATCCTACCTACTCAAAAGGTCTTTGTTATTTTCCTCCTCCTTTAAATGTTGCTATCTTACCATTGATTGATAAGAAGCTCTGTAACACCCATAATTTAATTAATTATTTAATTAAATTATTATTTTTGGATTATTTATGAAATTGCAAGATGTTGAGAATTATTGGTATAAGTTGTTGGATTATTATTAATTAATTAATTAGTTGATTAATAATAATTATATTGTTGGAATTAAGAATATATATATATATATATATATATATATATAATGTTGGACTTAAGCTATTGGTTACAAATAGTAAAGTGGAGGTGCAGGTTAGGCCCATTAAGAACTGATATATAAGGAGAAGCTAACACAAGGATTTACTTTAGTCGGAGAATAAGGATTATGTATGCTGACCGGTA